TAGGAATCTATGTTAAGGAAAGGACCGTAAATTTACACGAAGATTAATTACAAAGATGTTGACTTCATTGCTGTTGGAAACAAATGTCCAATAGAGGATTAGTTAAGAGAGTCATAGGACCTTCATAGGTCACACGGCAACATAACTTCCCTGGGTTTTGTGGGGTTTTCCATAACCCTCCAGGGTTCTATCCCGCCTCTCTCCCCTCTCCAACAGGCAGCGGGCTTTACAGTGGTTGCTGGGCTGCAGGAAGTGGGTGGAGGTGATTAGCCTCTCTCTGCTTGTGAATGTTGCCCTTTTCTTCACCCCTTTAGCCAGTATTGTAGATCAGTGAGGAGCCATCTCCTCCATAGCAGGAAGCTGTCCCTGAGGTAGAACTCAAGTCTCAACAGACTTCCAAAGGAGTCCCATCCTCACATTCTCTCCCACTATAAGTTACGCTTTCCAATTTTTTCCAATTTTATCTTAATTAGGAATACGGTAATATATTGGGTCTTCATCTATTTCTTAAATAGGAGGGGAAGATGGGGACTGCTTTGAGCTCTCTTATTAAAGAACCTCAAAACATACTGAGTGGAATACCTCCCAGTATTTTAAAGCAAGCAAAAAAAAAAAAAAAACCAAAAAGTTACAGAATATAGTTGCAAAATACACAGCTGAGAAAAATGTGGGAAGGCAATTACTGTGGTTATTTTCTCGTTTAGTTTTCATCCTCTAAATAAAAATTTTAAGAAAGTTTGTGTTGTTAAAAATAAGAACGAAAATCCGTATTTAACAAATTGCTCCCTCAGTGTGAACCCCGCGCCCTGGAGCCCCTGCGCCGGGCCTGGGACCCCGGCGTGCACCAGGGTCACTCGCACGCCTCTTCCCTGCTGGCCGGCGGCTCCTCGGGGCGCCCCCTGCTCTCTGTCCGCACATCTGGTCCTCACTTGCCGTCTGCCCCAGGGAAGGCCCGGCGTGAGGATAAAGCTCGCCTAATGCGGCTCCCAGCATTGAGGGCGGGCGCAGGAGAAAAGGGGGTTCCGCAGCTCTTCTTCAGCACAAAGAGGAGCAGGAGGTGGGCGAGGTCGCAGGTGAAAACGCGGGTGCTAAAAGCGCGGAGGCCGCGGCCCTGCGTAGGGCGGCCGGGTGCGTGGGGAGGCGTCCCTGCCCCACGAGGCCCGGACGAGGCGCCCCGGCTGACACATGGGCGGCAAGGGTGCGGGGTGAGCATGGGGCTCGGGGGCACCCGCGGCCTGCGCTCTCCACTGCTCCTCTCCTCAGAGGCGGACGGCTCCGTCTCCACTTCGCGGGCCGTCCTGTGGGAGCGGGCACCTACGCTGTCATCTGCGCATGCGCCGCAGCGGCCCACTCAGACCACGCGCTTCCGGCCGCCCTGCCTCTGCTGGGGAAACTCAGAGCTCACGTGATTGGCTCAGACCTGAGCACGTGACCAAAACTGGTCCAATCAGAATCAATCCAGAGACTTGCTTGCCTTGCTCCTGAAATTAGTATTCATTCTCTGCCACACTTAGCAAAGCGCAGGCTCTAAGGCTGTCCAGGTGCCGCTCTTTGCCGTAGTGTGGGTGAGAGCAACTCGCCCGCCAGTAAAAGCAAGACAGTATGGCCATTGTAGAAAACATTGGATTTGAAGGTTCGCAATTACTCTTTATTGGCTTTTGGGTCTTGGAAAAGTCATTTAAAATCTGTGCACTTAACTTGGGTTGTAAAGACAGATATCAAGTACCTCAGTGAGGTGAAATAACCTACACGAAATACAATGTAGAGAGCCATTAAATCCACCACCCCCACACACACCCCAGAACGCACACTAGTTATCGGTAGAAGTAAAAGGGAAAGACAGTAGTAAAAATTGTAAGGAATTGAGATCAGGATGTGTTTTTTCTCCCATCCCCTATCTTAAGGCCTGATTCCTGATAGGACACAGAGATTTTAATGGTTATTAAATGACTGTGAGGCAAAGGGTTTTACTGCAGTAGAACAGTGCTGTCTCTGCAAATCGTTTGTGCGCTCGTTGGTTTCTGTAGGGACTGTGGAAATGTGCGGCTGGGGGTCCCCTTCGGGAGGACCCGCGCTGGGCATTACAGCTGACCAGCAATCCAAGCTGCTATGCCTTGGGGTTTATCGGTGTCGGGTGAGGGCCACACTTCCCCTGGGTTCCTGCCAATTATTCTATTTCTTTTGAACTGCTTAATTGAAATGTAATTTATACACTACAAATTCACTCATTTAAAATGTATAATTTAATTTTTTAGCATACTTATGTGCTTGAATCTTAATACTACTATAAATAATAAAAATACATATATATTTACATATAACAAAGACTATATAATTTTTAGTAACAGAGCAAAGAGTAACTATTGAAATAACAAAATGGTTAAGCATTGCAAAATAAAATCAATAAAAGAAAGCACTCCTTGTTTGAATTATATAGTATGATGCTTGATTCAAAGAAATCAATTAGTATTTTACATAAAATGAATTACTGTACAGTCGACTAACAGTTTCACAATTACAGACAATAACAGTATGTGCAAAAGTTACATCTAATATTCAAGGATATGGTAAAAGAATAAAAAATATACAAGCATCAAAGGAAAACCAGTGTAGCTATAATAAATCTGGCAAAATAAACTTTAAGGTAAAAGGTATAACTAATGACAAAGAGAATAGCCTCATAGTAGTAAATACATTGACATACTAGAAAAAAAAAATCTTGTTTGTAGCTAGCAATATGGCCTCTAAATTTATAAAGCAAAATTTAACCAAAATACAAAGATAAACAGAGATATACAGAATTATGGCAAAAGCTTTTTTAAAGCACATCTTTTAGTAACAGGTAGACTAAGCAGACAAAACATAAACACAATGCAAAATGCACCTAACAACCTAAAAATACTCTTAAAGTATATATAACATGTTGACAACACTGGCCATACACTCAGAGGGCCATAAAACCTCAATACATTTCAGAGGCCCCAAAATACTTGTAATACATAGTATGTACTCTCATTACAATGCAATAGAGACTCATTTCTAACTAATGCACTACACTGTTAGATTTCACACATTGATAATGTTGATAAAAATGCTCTTTTAAAACTTCTAGGATGCAGTTAAAACAATCCTTAGAACAAAGTTTATAGTCTTAAATATGTCTTAGAAAAGAAGAAAGGCTAAATATTAAATTAATGAACCAGGCATCCACCCAAGGGCTAAGAAAAAGAACAGCAAGATACACATAATAACAGTAAATACACAAAATGAAAGGAAATAATATATAGATTGCAATTTAGTAGAAAGAAAACATGAAAAGTTTAAAGGAAAAAGACTAACAAGACTGACACACTTCTGCTGAGACTAATCAAAAAAATTAAGGAGGTGCCAAAGAAAACCAATATAGGATTACAATAGGATGAGTTATGCATGCCTAAAATACCCACACATTCCGAAAAATCACACGAAGTGTGACAGTGTTAGCAGGATAGGGGACATTGATCACTGACAAAATGAGTAAGTAGAAATCAGCAGCACGGTGGAGACGCTGTGGTCTCCTGGGCAGGCGGGCGGGAGAACATCACAATGCGCATTTAAAGCACACAGGACTGGCAGGGGAAGCGCTGGCCCATGGGCTCAGGGGCTGCAGGTGGGCACTAGAGGAGGTGCCCTGCCGCAGCTGCAGCCCTGCAAGGCCGAGGTGGCCCCTCTGCCAGCTGCCATCCTTGGGGCTGGGTACTCACCTTCCTTTTCTCATTGTACAGATGAAAGTTTCCTGAGTGAGCTGGGGGCTCTTTCCTTTCACCTGCCCCACATGATCCCCTGGTGTCACGGTCTGAATGTCTCTGTTCTGAGGGCCACGTGCGGAAATCTTCCTCAGGATGGCAGTGTTAGGCTTGGGGCCATCGGGAGGGGAGCAGGTGCCAGGGGCAGGGCTCTCATGAATGGAGTCAGTGCCCTATGTAGAAGGCCCGGAGACAGCCTGGTTCCTCCCACCAGGTGAGGATGCTTGAGCAAGCCCCACCTGTGAGCCAGGACGCGGGCCTTCACCGAGACAGACCGCCTGCACACCTTAGATCACTGATGGTCAGTACGCATGGCCGCTCGCCCCACATGGCAGCCCTCAGACTGCCGCTGAGGCCAGCATGTCTGTCTCCAGGCTCCGTCGAGTTCTCCTCTGTGTGCTTCGCTTACTGCAGCGAGCAGGCTCTCCCTCTGCGCCTCCCTCCTGAGAGAGATCTACTTTGCTCAGATCTGCGTTAGCCAGGGTGCTCTAGAGAAATAGGACAAGGCGTCTGTGTGTGTGTGTGTTAAACTGACATATAGATCTAGATGTAAGTATGGGGCTGGAAATTCCAGAACCTCTAGGGTAGCTAGCCCTGGACAAGCAGGGTGGTGGACGGTGCAGATGAAGCCACAGGCAGTGTTCGTAGCTGTCCCTCTTGCTCCGGAGGTGGGGTGGGAGGGCAGGCCTTTCTGTCTTTTGTTCAGCCCTGCTGCTCGCTGGAAGGTGACTACCCATATTCTGAGGGGCAACCTGCTTTGCTCCAGGTCCACCGACTTACTTGTGTATGTTCATGTAAAACTCTGCAAAAACATCTGGAATAAACTTTGACCACCTATCTGGGCAGCATGGTCCGGTCAAGTTAACACCGAGAACCATCACATCTCCCTTAAGAATGTGTGCACAAACGAGGGTGGGGCACGGTGTAACGCTTCCCTTCACACATTTCATGCACCCCGGGCAGCCCCTGTCACCTGCACGGTGGCCTGGTCTGGGCTCAGGCGACCACACGATCAGAGGTGTGTTGTACACCACCCCGTCACTCTTCATGCCCTGCTTGAAAGACTAATCTAGATCTGTTGCTTCCCTTTCCTCACCTGTTCCTTGCTTCCCTTTTCTACTTCCGTTCCTGAGGTTCCCAAGTTCAGCGGGAGCTCCCAGCCCAGCACCCTCCCTGGCCGGCCACAGCCTGGGCGTGTCGCTACCGCACCACCTGCCACCCTTCTTTCTCCTGGCTGCGTGCTCTGACACCCTTCCTTCCTATTTAGGTCAGCAGTTTGCCCCGCCTAGGTGACAGGCACTGCTGGGTGCCGAGGACACTGAGAACATGACGATGTTTTTGTCACATGTCAGGCAATGAAAGCTGTGTGGGTTTGGGGAGTGGTGGCTTCAAGGAGGAGAAGACACTTTTAATGGGAAAAGTCTGGATATCTGGAAACCCTGCCTGTATTGTGTGAGACCAGAAGGCAGTGCAGTGGAAACCACCTGCCTGCCTGCTTTGTGTGGGTTCTACCGCTGCGTGAGGCTGTACGTGCGTGTGCATGTGTGTTGGAGGGGTAGTGTGTGTGTGTGTGTGTGTGTGTGTGGGTGTGTGGTGGTCGCTTTCTCAGGTCCATGCCTCCACGGCAGAGGCTGTCGGGAGGCAGTTGCATCTGTGGACTGGTGGTGTCCTGCTGTGTCACACGTTGTAGGAACATACTCTTGAGCTCACAGTCGGTGGTGTTGGAGATCGTAGCACCATTTACTTCTTCCAGGCTTTCCAGGAATTCTGAGGACATCTAACGTGCTGAAGTAATCCTTCCTGCTTGAGATGCTCAGAGCAGGCCCTACTTCCTGTCTTGAACCCCAGCGTACCACGCCATCCACATCTGATGGCAGAGGATCCCCTGAACCCTGCACCGAATCAGAAACACTGACCCGAAGGAGGAATGGGAGTGTGCTGTGAGGGCGAGGTTTGTCGGCAAGCATCAAGCGCTGCAGCAAAAGTAGACAGGATTGGGATGCAGGCGGGGGAGACGCGGGGATGTGAAAGTCACCTGGGCGCACACTGCCTGTTTGGGGGCGGAAACCAAACTGCAGACAGGAACAGCAGAGGGAAGCTGGAGATCCTCTCCGAGAGGCTCCCGGAGCAGTGAGCGCCTTCGCCTGGGAGGTGGGTGGGCCGTCGGAGCCAGTGTTCCATTGGGAGGCAGAAGTGGAAATCAGCATACAACTTGTCACAGACTAAGACTATTTCGTCATAAGAATTTGAAACTGAAATAGCCTTAGACGTGCATAAAGTATGAATGTAACTTCAACCCCCCTTACAACTGGCATCTTTCTTTTGTACGGGAAATGAATATAAATTTTCCAGCCTTGAGTCTCCCTGGTACTTTTGGGCAACAGTCACTTTTTCAAGAAATCAACCTTTATGCCTTGGAAGTTTGAGTTCATAGCAAAAGTGAGACAAAGGCACAGCTCTTTCCCACTTGCCCCTGCACCTGTCAACACCTGCCACCCGTGAGCGTGCTAGTTCCAACCCAGGGACCTGGGCGACGTGTCACCATCTGGAGTCCACGGTCTACATTAGTTTCCATTCCTCACAGTGCTGGACACTCTGGGTGTGGACAAATGTTTAGTAGCGCTTGTAATTAAATTTTGCAATCCTTTGTTAGTTCACCTTGCAGGGATGGACTTTCTGCCTTCCGGATGGAGGCAGGCAGCTCCCTCGGGCTGTGGTGCGGAGCCGTCCTTTCGGTGGTGGTGCTCCCTCTCCCCTATGGCCCCAAGCGCTTGCTGTACTTACACCTTCACACTAAGCTCCCGGTCCCCTCAGCACCTACTGACCACTCAGGCAGCTCACAGGCAGGACCCAAAGTAGAGCTGCCTTTGCAGCACACGCATGGTATTCAGTGGACAATGATTAATTCCGTCTCTGAGCAAATAAACATTATGGAGGTGTAATCAAGACACACATCCACGCTGCAGATGCCACACTTTCTATCACGTGCGTGGTCCCCGTGTATCCTCTAAGTGACTTCCGGGCTCCTGTCCTGCGTGCTCACCCACATTCCACCTGCCCCCTGCTTGCCTAACCGTCTCGCCAAGGAGGCGGACTGATGCTGCCTGTTCCCCTGCCTCTGACTTCCCCTGAGTGGCCAGGGTGCTCCCCGCTCACTGCTGAGCAGTGTCCAGTGCTGTTGGAGGCTCAGACCAAGGCGCTGCTGGCCAGCAGGGTGAAGTGTCAGCCCCTGGTCGCGAAGCTGCGCTCCGCGCACTGGGCCGGCACAGCTGGAATTCCTCCCTCGGAAGCTCGGTATTACCGAAAATGTGCTGTTGAGCCTCTTCCTTGCTCTTCTTCTTTCCCAAGGTAAAAAGGGCTTTACAAGTGAGAGGACTTCTAAGGAGTCAGCCAGGAAGAGCCATCTGTGGTATGGAACTGGCTTATGTAATAAGCAGTCTGCACGCAAGGAGCGCTCCATTAGAAGCACCACGGGCCGCCCGGGGGGTTTACACTGCTTGTCGCTATCCGCCTCAGCAGTCCTCACTCGAGCACGCCACCGTCTCTGCTCCGTACACACCAGCTTTTTCCCCAACCAAAGCTGGTTCGCCCCAGGCTTGCCTCTCCTAAGGTGCACTGCTGAGACAGCCCCTCCCCGCCCGGGAGGGAGAGAGCGATGGGGAGCAGCCCGCGGGGCCTGCACGCAGAGGGGCTAGGTGCTGATGCGCGCGCTTCCCTCCTACCCGGCTCTGTGAACCCGGACCCCCTGCCGGGAACCCGCTGAGGCTCAGTCCGCCCCGGTGGCCCCCAGCTGGGCTGGACACTTCCCTGACAGGCCAGCGCACGGTCATCCCCAGCACGCCGTCCAGAACGTGGCCCCACCTTTCTACTTCTAAAAAATACGAATTCCTGCTGCTACGTATGTTCACACTGGATTTGAAAAGCAACATCTGAAGAAACAGAAACACAATCTGGTATTTTTACTAAATTTACTGAATTTTAATAAGTCTACCTTAAAAGAGGGTTTTTTTTGGGTATTGGGCATCAAACGCGGGACCTCGAGCTGTGCACTGACCTATATCCTAGGCCCTCAAAGAGTTTTAAAGAGTTGGAAAAAGCTCAAAACGGAGATGTTCAGAACGGGTGGGTCCTAAGGCGCAGGCTGGAGGGTTCTGCAATGCGTGGTCCTTGCTAAGTGAGCTTCCTGCCCGCTCCCTCTTACACAGCCTCTCTGCCTGCAAGACTGGCAAGGAGCAGAAATGAACTCTGGACTTCATGCTTCGGTCCACACAAGCAGCCTCGAAAAGCACGTCATCCGCTGCCACTGGTGTTGATGGTGAGGTGTTCACTTCCCCGAGGTTCCCTCCTGAGTGAATCGGCGGACACGAAGACCAGGGCTCTGCCGCAGGGAGTCCATGCCAGCGGGCAGTGTCTCTTCTCCAAATGACTCCTGTGAGATATTCTGGACGACAGATCAGCAGCAGGGTGAAAGGTTTGTATATACCCTAATGCAAGGGTGCAGCTGGGCCGAGGCTGCTTTGGTCCTGGTTTCCTTGGTGTTTCTTTGGTTCCTTCTTTCATGTAAATTCAAAACAAAACCCCACATTTTTTTCATGGGTTGTGTCAGGGTTTTTCAGAGAAAGAGGATCCACAGGAGTATCTATCCATCCATCATCTGTCTGTCTACCATCTGTCATGCAGCCGTGCATCATCTGTTATCTATCTACTTACTACCTATCATCTACCTGTGATCTACCTACCTATCATCTATCTACCTACCTACCTGTCATCTATCTATCTATCTAAGGAATTGACTCCTGTGGTTATGGAGGCTGAGAAGTCCCACAGTCTGCGAGCTGTGCAGAGCCAGGAAAGTCAGTGATGGAATTCCAGTCTGAACCCAAAGCCAGAGAACCAGGGGAGATGTGGGATCATCCTCAGTCTAAGTACAGGTCGAGAACTGTCCCCGCTCGGCAGCAGATGGGAAGCCTTTACTCTCTATTCAGGCCCTCCTCCTTCCTCTAGCCTTCTTGATCCGTTACTCTATTCAGGCCCTCAGGGATGGCAGGAGCCTGCCCACTCTAGGGAGAGCCATCTGCGTCCCTGAGTCCAAGGGATGTTTACATGTGCGAGTCTGGTTTATTTCACTTATGAGTATGCTCTCGAGTTGCATCCATTTACTTATGAAAGTCTCCAGTTTCCTTCTTTATGCCTGAGTAGTACTCCATTATATATAAAAAAAACCTGCATCTTTTTTTATTCATTCCTCGCTTGATGGGCATTTGGGTTGTTTCCAAGATTTAGCTATTACAAATTGTGCTGTTATAAACACAGCACCTATGTTGCTGTGATATGTCTTTAAATCTTCTGGGAAGATACCCAGAAGGGGAACAGCTGGGTTGAATAGGACCTCCAATCCTAGTTTTCTGAAGAATCTCCACACTGATTTCCACAGTGGTTGCATCAGTCTACATTCCCACCAACAGTGGAGAAGGGTTACTTTTTCTCCACAGTCCCTCCAGCATTTGCTATTGGTTGATTTCCAGATAACAGCCATTCTTTCTGGGGTGTGATGGAGACTCAGTGTTGCTTTAATCTGCATCTCTTAAATGACCAGTGATGTTGAACATTTTTTCATGTATTTGCCATTTTTATTTCATCTGAGAAGTGTGTATTCATCTCAGATGCCCATTTTTGGATTGGGTCTTTAAATTTGGGAGGTCTTTACTTTTTTGAGCTCTTTATACGTTCTTGATAGTAATCCTTTGTCTGAGGGACATCTGGCAAACATTTCTTTCCAATTGGTGGGCTGTCTCTCCACCCTGTTGGTGGTTTCTCGTGCTGTGCCAAAGCTTTTTAATAAGATGAGAGCCCAGTTGTCGATTCTCTGTGATAGTTCCTGTGTGACTGGGGTCTTATTCATAAACTCTCTGCCTACACCGAAGTCTTCAAGAGTTTTACCTATTCTATCTTCCAGCAGATTTAATGTTTCTGTCTTAATATTTATATCTTTGATCCATTTTGACTTCAGTTTAGTGCATGGTGAAAGATATGGGTCTAATTTAAGTCCTCGGCATGTGCAGAGAAAACTGGAAAGCCAGTTTTTCTAGCACCATTTATTAAAGAGGCTAGCTTCCTTCCAGCAAATGTGTTTGGCCCCTTTGTCGAGGATAAGGTGGCTGAGTGTGTCTGGAGTTGTGTCCACATCTTCTAATCCATTCTGTTGATCTTCAGGTCTGGTTTACTGGTTTTTTTTTGTTTTTTTGTTTTTTTTTTGCAAGTACCACACTGTTTTTATCACAGTAGCCCTGTAGTGTAGCTCCAAGTCAGGGCTTAATCATGTGCACTTAATAACTTTTTCTTTTCCTTTCTTTTGGAGATGGGTCTCACCATGTTGCTTAAGCTAATCCTGAACATGTGGACTCAAGTGACCCTCCCAGCACACTGGTGAGATGCCTTTTGTATGGTCTCTCCCAAGAGTCCTCTCTCACGTGCCACACCCAGAGGACTGCGTGAGGATGAAATATTTAAAGGCAGAGAATGTGCAGGCCAGAGGGAGCCCTGCAGCCCCGAGACACATCCATTTCATCAAGGCACAGGCAGGGTCCTCCGAGACATTTTTGTGGATGAGATGCAGACCTGGAGGACAGCTCATAGTTGTTAGATGATGAGAACTAAGCAACCTGGACCTGACGATCAGTCTTTGGTAACTGATAAGACCTTGTGCTCGTTCCCATTTCCCACGCATGGCTCCTAAATCACATCTGAGTCATGATTCAGATAAGCTGTGGCTGACATGTTTACCCAACCACACCTCACCACCATCTGCCAACAACGAGTTCCTGATGAATATTCCAAGAGGGTTCTGCTGGTCTTCCCCACCCTGTCACCCAGCCCTGCCCTGCCTCCACTCCTCGTCTCTCCCGCTGACATGGGATATCACAGCACACTGTACCTTACTCTCCACCTGTCCGGGGGCTCCAGCCTCTGCGAGCAGGAAGATGGTGAGCGGCCTGCGAGGGTCCTGTGGTGGAGTCTGCACCACGTCCGATGAGCACCTAGGAGCCTGCAAGACACGGAGGAGGAAAGGGCAGCAGATGAGACCATGCCTCTACTGCGACCAGTTCTCTGACCCTGGGCCAGTCTCCAAGCCCGGCTGCCTGGATCATAACATGGGGCTGACACTGTTCTCTCAGAGCTGATGAGCATCACGAATGACTGTATGGGAACACCCTTAAATGCCGAGCACTACTGTTAGCAATATTTTATCTCAGTTGTGTTGGCCAAATCAGGCTCAATTTTGGCTATTCATAAAGGTTTGGACTCTAAAAATTGTTTCCTGAGTGACTCAGATGTTTTCTGAATTTGCTTATATTAGCCAAGCATGTCTTCAGAACTGGGAAAATGCTTTACGTTTGGCTGTCATGATTAATAAAACTGTGAATTTTAAATTATCATGGAAAGTACTTTTAAAAAACTATAGCGAACGGCGGGAAAAAAAAAAATAAAAGGCCCCAAATCCCAACATGAATGACAACCACATTAACCTTATATTATCTTTGTTCTTTTTCCAGATTAGTTTTAGAATTTACTCATTAGTAAGTACTTTAAATTAAGAGTTTTATAATCTGTGGGTAAGCCATAATACGGAAGGGGTGTGCGTATGGGTTTACTCCAAGAAGTGAAAACATTCCTAATAAAATAGTTTGCTGTATGACTTACCCAGCTGTTGCTGAGGGGAAGCAGGGCCCCACTGCACTCTTAGAAGTTCCGCGGAGATTTCCTGTTCTTTGCCTTTTGGTCAAACTTACTTATTCTTCTAGCATTTTTAAAAGGGTACACAGCTCACATGGTTCCTGCACCCAGTTATGATCTGAGACTGTCGTTTTGCGTCTCAGCCTTTACCTCTCAGACCTATTTTCAGGGTGTTCATAGTGATAACCCCTTGAGTTCCGGGTCCCGGGATTCTTGTTTCTTAGAAGTGAGCCTGCTATTTCCAGCTGAGTGCTTTGAGCGGTTACTTCCCAGTATTCTGAGAAATGCCAGCGGGTACTCCAGAAGGAGGTAGGCCCCCTAATCAGTGCGTTTGGGAAATCTCGGGTCATGCAGGAGATGGTGAATGTTTTCTGACTGAGGGTTTGCAAACGCACACGACCTTTCAAAGTACTCAACAACTGGGCCCTTCGGGTTCATGGGTCGCTAGCAGTCCCTGAGGGCTGTTCTGAAACTGGGATATGCTGGCTTCTGATTTAATTATTTTTACACTCTCAAAAAAGGTAAATGTGTCAGGGTGCGGGTCTCTTCCCTCGTGTGGAATCCGGGACCCTGCCTTCCCCTCCCTTGTGCTCCCCACCCCCGCTTTCCTGCCAGCACCTCCGTCAACCCCAGCACGATTCTCACTCACCCTCGACACCTCTGCTCCCTTCTGTCCCCGTGTTCAAATCACTGTGCCGTGGGCTCAATTTCTCTGCATTGCTTTCTCCTTCTTCCCGTCTCCCAAGCTCCTAGCTTATTTTATTGTCTTTTTACTTTTGGGGCTCCTGTTTTAAAATGGCTGCCAGCTTCACACCACGCATTCCCAACTTCCCAGAATCCCAGCAGGCTCTCAGTGTGCTGTAATTCCTCCTAAAAACAATTTTAAAGTTCCGACTTTCCCCATCTTCCAGGCGATGCTTCCCTGTGCTTCTTCTGAAGAATGTTTGCGCAAGGCTCCACATGGATTTCCTATTCTGCTTACCCAACTGAAAAGTGGGTTGGCGGAGACGCAGGGCCCGGCACCGCTAGGACCGGGCGGTGCAGCGCCTTTCCAGACCGGACCGGAGGGAGCCGAGGCTGCGTGGCAGGTGGGCTTCTCCAAGTCCATTTCCAAGAGCCACGCTGGTGCTGACAGTGCAAGTCCTCCAGGGTACCTGACCACTCTCCTTCGCTGGACACTGAGAAGCGCCGTGCAGGCACAAGGGCAGCCGGATCCCTGCCCGTGGCCATCAGCGCCCCGGCCCCAGCGCACTTCTTCCTGGGAAGCGGCGGTGTCTCCTGAGAGCGGCCTGCAGGCATCCAGGCCTGTGGCCTGCAGCTGGGGAGAGCGGTAGAGGCCCGGCCGCGCACGGTGGTCAGCACTGCACAGCCTCTCTGCCTCCGTCCGGGCAGGGGAGCCGGACAGGTGGGGCCCTGCCGGTATCTCCCTTGGTCCCACCTGTTTATGAGCTTGTACAAATCGCTCATAGTTTATGTACAGGTTGAATGTGTGTCTTAGTTTGGGAGATTTTTAAATCTTTCTGCTCTGCCACTGGTTATTTAGTGAAAAGTAGAAAGAGGCTACTAAACTGAAAAGCTGTAATTAACTTCTTGACTTTGATGGTGGGAAAACCCCATTAAATGATTTCTTTCCTGACATTAACACCCATGCAGTAATACAGTGTTCAGTGGTGTAAAGGAGCTAGGTTCTGGATAAAGGCCGACAAGGCTTGAATTTGCTTCCTGATGGATATGTTGTTTGATCCTGGAATGTTTCGTTAATGGTACCCTCATAGTCAGGCCATAAAAGCACGGGTTCAAGTCCGCTCTGTTCTGACTCCATCTGTATGTAGTGCCCAAATACTGAGAAAAAAACAAAACAAATACTTCTAAGTACTTTGGAAACTGTCCTTGGTTTCTATCCTGACAACTCAACAGGTACTTTTAGAGCATTGTGTAGTTGTTTTAAGAAATGGTATCATTCCCCCGACCCCGCCTTTAGTTTTGTGAAATTGGGTCTCACTACATAGTTCAGTCTGGTCCTGAACTCACTATGCAGCCTAGGCTGGCTTCAAACTCACAGTGATCCTCCTGTCTCAGCCTCCTGAATACAGTGCTGGGATTACAGGTGTGCGCCACTACCCCCAGAGAGAAATAGTAATCATTCTTAAAAGAACTCTAGGTGTGAGATTTCTGAAGACTGCTTCAAATTGTGTCCTAAATTAAAATGATCACGTTTGTAACTAAGTTTTGCAGTTAGCCAGTTACTCCACAGAAAGGGGAAGCGGTCAGGGGAGCTTGGTAAGGAAATGCCTGTGCCCCGCACTGAACAACTCCATGTGGAGTTTACTGATTCACCGAGTACATTTCCATATGTTCAAAACCTTGCCAAGGCAGAAAGTAAGTATACTTCAAACAAATTATTTATTCCAAGTTCCACTGCTTAGAGGTTTGCCAAAAGTTATTACATAAGTGAATAATGAAATCAGAAACGAGTTTTCACAGCTACAACATTTCCGACAGAGTTACTATCTGCATGAGTCCGGTGTTTCCATTACTGAGAATCCATGAAGAAAGTTTCAAAGTCCAGATCCAGGTCAGAAACGAGAGCGTCCACAAAATCATCGACAGACGGGCACTTCTGCAACATACCTGCAACCAGAGGAAAGGTCAGCCGCATGTTCCAGGCCACCAGGGGGACAGGGCCCAGCGCAAATCTGGGTACCAGGCAGACACCCTGGCTTTCTGGGGTGAGCATTTTTCTCTGTAACCCACCTATGAGGACATTTCATAAGGTCATGGACAAGATGTGAACTCTGAAGCTACCTATGATGTTAAAGTATTTTTACTCGCTAATCATACTTAACCTTACAGATACAAGCTCAAATATATTCTCAAGAATTTTTGTTACTGTAGATATTACCATTCACTTGGAATGACGTTAGAAAACTGAACAGTTTTAGTAATCTTTGACTGGAATGATAGAGAATTTAGAAAGTTTAGTTATTTAATGAGTTTTACTATTGAGTTCTATGCACTTTAAAATCATTAACTCTTTTGTAGAACTCTTACATAAGAATCTAGTTTTTGGCTTTCCTCCAGATTTTCCTGCCTTAGAGAACGCCTATCTTTGCAGCTTTCTAACTCTGTAATGTAGAAGTCACACAAGAGCTTTGTCACTCCGATTTCCTAAGGTAAAGGTAAAGATCATAGCAATCAAGGTCGTTGCTTCAACTCATACTCTTAGCAGGGAATACTCAGGGTTGGACAGCTCTTACACACTGGCACTGAAAGGCAGAAGTGTGTGTGTGTGCACGTGTGCACACTCATCCTGTAAAAACACTGTAAAACTACTTCCTTGGCAGACAGACCTCACTGAATTGCACAGTGAGATCCTATCTCAATAGAAGCCCCCTAAAAAATTGATAGATTTGATCAAGATAAAAACATCTATTCTTTAAAAGAAACCATTAAGAGGATGAACAGGCAAAAGAGGGAGAGAAAATACCCAGAAAATATATTATCTCAGATAGGACTGGTTCCAAAATACCTAAAGAACTCTAATCCATCATAAAAAGGTATTTAAAAAATTACAAACGGACGAGATGTGACCTTTCACGAAAGAAGATATCCAAATGAACACAGCCAGTGGGCACGGAGAAGACACTCAGCATTCTTAGTCATTACGAAATGAATACAAAATCACATGGGATGCAACCACACACCCACCACAATGTCTAAATTAAACAGACTAACACCACCAAACACTGACAACGCTGCAGGCAACCTGAACCTGAGCATTTGTGGTGAAAGGGTAAAATGATGCAGCCCACTCTGGAAAAGGTCTAGCAGTTTCTCACAAAACTAAACATATACCTCCCTATGACCAAGCAGTTTCACGCCTACGTATTTAAGCGAGGAGAAATAAAAGTGTATGTCGACAGAGAAAGGCCTTGTACCAGCCTACACTGGAAATGACACAGGCCTTCATCGACAGAGTGTGGATAAACAGAATGCAACAAGGCCCAAACGACTCAGAGTGCAACAAGGGGGAGCTCAGGAAGCTCACACTGAATGGAAGATGCTTCATGCAAAGGAGGGTACTGTTTGATTTCTTTTATGTAAGGGTCATAAACGGTGAACAAAACCACAATGGCAGTGGCCATCAGACACAAACGCTAGAGCTGGCTGCGAAGGGGCACAGGAGCTTTCTGATGGCAATGCTATGTACTGGGGTAGCGATCGGAGCTGTGACGGTGTACACGGAGATCAAAATTCATTACATGGATCCTTGAGGATTTATGCATTCCACGGTCTAAAAATTTTACATAAAAAGTAAATGGATGTCGACCCATTTAACAGTATGGGCGCAGAGGTCCCCAGTGGTAAAATGGACTGATGTCTATAATTACCTGAGGTACATTCACACACCGGATTGGTGGGCCATGAGAAGGGGACAGATGTCCATGTTTCCCATTGTTAATTGTAATGAATTCTAATTTTATGTAATGTAAGTGGCAAGATGTATTTCCCATGCTAGTCATTCAACTGTGTTGAATGAAAATTTTCAACAGAAGATATTTTTAAGTGCAGATCAAAATATTTCCATCCTCATTCAAATAGCCTCCAATTCTAATAGCCCCTTCTCAGGACTAACAGCTGAGAAGGGACAGTTACTGGAGAAGAATTTCACTGCTATCGTCTTATTAATAAAAGTAGAGTTTAAAATGTATTTTTCTTATAGGAAAGCAATTCCCATGGATGTGAGCAGGCCTCTCCTCTTAGGCAGATATGTCACACATAAGGGACGTTGGGAGCCTGATGATCACTGACACTGTAACTCCTAGGTGTAGTTGTCCTAGAAACAGGTCTCATCTGATTATAAAGACGTCTCGAGCATTTATGGTGTGCCACTCTTCTTGACGCGGAGCACATTTCTAGGGAAGGTATTTCAACGTGACTTTCATTCAGGTGCGCTAACCTGTTGCACCATTTTCTTTAAATATGTGAAACATTTCTATAATTATAGGACTGGTCCTTTATAATTAGATGACTTGAACTGTCAGAAGGCGAAGCCACTTACTCAGAGCTAACCTACTCAGGCGCAAGTCTGGCCGTCGTGTGCCTTTGAAGTGGCTCATTTCAGCCCAACCAACCGTCAACCGAAACATGACCTTGGGTTCTCCTTCTTGGCAGACAGACCTCACTGACACACGTTCTGCTCCAATTTTCCGTCGGAAACCATTCCTGCATCTACAGAACGGTGGCTGTGGCAACAAGAGATACACATACACGTGTGGTCTTTTTCCATAAAATATGGTGAGAGCTAAGAGGCCTGCAATTTTGTATGTACTATGACTGCTAAAGATGAAGGTACAAGGAGGAGAAATCGGGACCTGAAGGAATTAAGAGTAATAGTCACTGGGGTAAAAATTCTCTGGGTACATTATTATGGCATTTTCTTTCTAATTAGATATAAATGTTTTGCAGGTATCAGCATGAACTAATTCCTGCACAGAGAATCAAAAGAAAAATCCACAAGAAAAACTGAGCTTGGAGTTTATGCATGTATATAGTTTCAACATTCTAAGAGCACTTTGATTTAAAAAAGAACGCTTACGAAGATGTCCAGGTTTTAATTTTAAAAGTGGGATGATAAGGTTTCATCCTTCTCAGGAGCTCTGGGATCTAGGCTGGAGCTTTAACTCCAGAAGCGGGTGGAGCTCACAAGCAGATTTCATTGGGGAAATCACCTAAACTAGAGGGAAATAGGCAGGTCTTTGTTAAAAGGATTCAAACACACGAGCAATAACTTCACAACTAAAAAGAGAAGTGACAACAGCAATAGAAAAAAACAAACCTGCATCAGACCACACATCGTACAAAGCAGTAAAAAGGAAACACAAGGTTGTTTCTTCTACTGGTTCTACTTAGGAGCCATGAACAAAATACGATGAGCAGTTAAAGAACGGAGATTTTATTTCTCTCCTCATGTTACCTGAAAGGCACATGGGCTGACAAAAGCCAGCACAAGCCAGGACATGTGCAGCCTGACTGCCCTGCTCCCAGCAGCAGCGAGTTTCATGAACTCGCGGTGCAGAACAAGCGCTCCGGGCTGGCCACGGTGTGGGATACGGTCGCGCGGGTTCCAGGACTGACGCGAGGGCAGCAGGGCTGCATGTGCATGTGTTCTGCTGCAAACATGCCTGGGAGCATCTGGTTGGCAGTTTGCGCCTCCAAACCAACTCTGCAAAGACAGAACCTTGTTCTGGCGCCCTTTCTAAGTGCCTGGGGTGAAATGGTTCGTGTATCCTTTAAGGTTTAAGAACACAGGGGATTACCGGGGCAATTAAAAGACAGAATCATTTTAAGCCTGAAAGAGAAGTAAAAGAGTTACATCCACCCTTGGAATCTATTTCATACATTGCTTAACGCCAACCACGTGTGCCCAATAAAATGAATCTGTGGTTGAGTCTGATCAAAGTTTAGTGAAAGACAAGGATCAAGGACATAATTATAAATACAGCCTCTCTAAGGGGCTTTCCCACTCCTTCCTTCGTTTTCTCTATCCATACCTGAGTGCCTAATATGAATTAAGGACTGGTGAAAAAATTATAAATAAGACAACATATTACTTATTAGAATTACATATAAAAATGACTGAGGATCAGTCTTAAAGAAATTATGATCAACTGGGTCCCACCGAGGAACCTGTTAGAAATGTAAAGTCTTTTTTTCCCCTCTGAGGTAGGAATTGAACCCAGGGCCCCTACAGGCTATGCAACTTGTTCTGCCACTACCACTGAGCTCTACCTGTTAGCTCAAGGGATGTGAAGTCTTGGTCCTGGCCAGCCGGGATGTAATGATTCAGGACTGGGGGTGGGAGAGGACAGGGCCTTGCCAGGGCCTCCTGGGATTCTGTGCATGCTCATGGGTGGAGTGCAGCTCCGGAGGATGAGAGGAAATCTGTTCAACAGGAGACAGACCTGCTCTCGCCTGGCAACTTGAAAAACACTACACAAGAAAGCTGCATGATTTTCTATTTCCTAGGCCTTTGTTTCTCCAGTGAAAAAGAAAACGTAATTGTACCAAGCAAAGCTATAATCTGTGTGGGACACTGTTCAAAGTTACGATGGCCAAGGCCCGTGAGGGAGGGCTAGCTGGAACCCACCCTGATGGATGCTCAGGTGAGCCTGCCGGAAACAGCCTAGAACTCTGTGGTGGGGGGAGGGGCTGCACGGCCCTGGCACGAGCGGGGGTGGGGGTGCGGGTGGGGGCAGTGACTCCGGACTGGACAGAGACGCCTCCCAGACACAGGCAACCTTGGGCGCCCAGAGCAGTGACTTTATTTAAAAAATTAAAAAAGCAGCCTGTCTCTCGATGCCTAGCAACAGCCTGAGGCGCCGCACTTCGTGCTGATCCGTTACTGCCTCCTTTCGGAGGAAGCCTCCGGAACAATCTCGGACCTTCTCTGCGGAGCCTGAGAACGGAACCACACCTGAGTCAGGGCGCCGAGGAGAGGCAGCGGCCGGTACAGGACTGGTGCACTCTGCTCAGACGCGGTCTCCGGGCGTGGTCCCCGACGGACAGGTCGGACACTGCAGAGGGGCACTGACCTCCCGCACTCAGCGCTCCCTTCCATCAGGGTTGAG